GGGGGGGTGCCCCTCTGCTAGAAAGGATGAGGCGACTGCACCGAGGGATTAACCGGAATGATCAAAGGAAAACACGAGGAAGGCACGAGACGTGCTTGGATCAATGACGCCATCTTGTGGCGGTGCCTGTTTGATGTTTACACGGTGTTTGAGCGCCACCTGCCGTTTAATTAATTAATTGACTTATTATGTGACCAGTGTGGGCAGGGGCGTAACTAAGGGGGGCCCAGAGGAGTCAGTACCTGTCACCCTGCAACTGCTGCTACTGGTCCCCATTGGCCAGTTTGAACTTCTTGAGCTTTTGTTGGTGTGGATTTTTAATTTAATTTAATTTAATTTATTTCTGCAGCTCCAATTCTCAGCAGTCGTCTCAACAAAAAACATTCACATACATAAAAAACAATCAGTAAATGACTTCCCGATGATTTTTCCCGACCCCCATTGACTCCCCTGGCCAGACAGTCTTATATGGATTTTTTGTCTGTTAGCAAAACATCTTACGAAGCATTGGACAATTTAGAAATAATAATTTAAATTTCAACAAAATGGCAGCTGATCAACTTTAGCAAACACAAAATTGATTAGAAATGAGTCAGTTTTATAGATTATTATAGATATTGAGCTAAAAGTTGGTGCTTAAATTGCCCTAACTCGTACTCTGAAGTTATCTGTCCAGGCTGTTGGAGATTAACATTATCAGAAAATCTGAGAATATTCATGTGTATTCTCACTGGGGGGTAACAACCAGTGAGCAGCGAGCAGGGTGGGTGGTCACGTTTGGACAGCCTGATTTTGGGAATCGCAGCTTCTTTTGTGTGCACGGCTTGTTTAGACTGTGCACGTTCTTTAGTTTCTCCCTCCTTCCACAGCATTTTGTACCGTCTTAACAGCTGCCCTCACATTTATGTTTTAATCTGCTGGATTACATGTTTGAAAAGCAGAACATTTCTGAAAAAGTTCAAAACTCCAGTAACGGCTGTGTTCGTCAAATATATCAAATTAACGCAAGGCATTCAGGAAAGTGTCTCATAAAACTACTGAAAGTTCTGGTTGATCCACTCTGAGAAGGTGCTACTGAGCTGAATACAGTGCCTCAGACTGAGGAAGTCTTCTGGATGAGAGACGAAACGTTTCTACATGTTGTTGTTTTGTGAATGTCCAGGACCAGATTGAACTTTTTTAGATGCTGAAAGTCCAGTTTTCACTGAAACGCAGGTGAAGCTCAAGTGTTTGCAGAGATCAAATGAAAATGCAGAGACTCTTTAGTCCACACAAGTGCAGAAGAAATGGTTTTGACCACAAGATGTAACTCTTTCATGTCTGAAGAATTGGTCCATTAAAAAGAGCCGAACATCCTGATGTGAATCATTAACCTCCAAACGAGGACCTCTTTAAAACTCATGTTAAGATGTTGCTGCTGTGCTCCACCACAGAAAATTAGATTTAATGAATCCAACAGTCACGTGATACATTTCCTTTTTCATTATAAACTCAGTGACTGTGTTTGTTTGAAATATTATGATAAATTAAAATGGGTCATTTATTAAAAAGAATGAGCTTCAGACTGAAGACAGAAATATGAGATTCATATTGTCTCTGCTCTTCCTACGTCTCATTTTCCATATTCTCTTTCCGAACAGCTGGATTGACATAAAAACACTTGTTGTACACTAATTGTACTAGTTAGAGTAAGCTGGATTAACGGTCTGTGTGAACCTCCAGATTTGAAATGTCCCACTCAGCAGATTAAACAAACAGCAGCGATGCTCATAACTGATGTAAACCATCTTAATCCCAGCTGCTGCTTTCAGATGATACAGAAGAGTTAGTTTGACTTAATGGAAGCCACAAACACCAACTCCCTGAATAATAAGCCACTAGCAAAAAACAAAGTACAATATCTTAATATTCTTCAGTGCAGAAAAGAAGCACTGGCAAAACACAGCACATCTAAAGATCATGAATTCAAAATCTTCTTCTTTATTGATGAACAGTAAACGTAAAATGACTCATTATGCATAAAAACCCTCCTGCAGATGATGAAGATCCGTGGAGGCTTTATGAAAAACTCCTTTTTATTATTTCATGTTCTCTGAGGTCCAGGCTCCTCGTGGCTCCAAACATTAACAGTAACAACAGGAACCTTGTTCTATACGGAGGGTTTTAAACATGTTTAAAGAGTGCTGATAATCCATCCATATACGTCTGGACATGGACAGGATGGAGAGAATAACTGCAGAAGTAAACGATGACAAGGAGAAACGGATGGTTTGTATAAAATCACCAGATCTAGACGTACGATTTCTGAATGATAGATTGATTTTAACAAAAACATTTTCACTCTCTCTCTGTTTTTGTTGTTTAAAAAAGCATTTAATAATTGAAGTGGATATGCAGTGATGAAAATAAGTATTTAAATATCCTGCCACTTTGCAAGTTGTCCCACATGGAGGGTCTGAAATGTTCATCTGAGCTGCATGTCCACTGTGAGAGACACAATCTAAAAAATTATAATAAATCCAGAAATCACAGTGTATGATTTTATTAAATAATTTATTTGTGTGTTCCTGCTGTAAATAAGGATTTGACCACCTGTGAACATCACTGTTAATATTTGGTGCAGTGTCTTTGTTTGCAGTGACAGAGGTCAAAGGTTTCCTGTAGTTTGTCACCAGGTTCACTGCAGCAGGATTCTGGACTGTTCCTCCACAGATCTTCTGTAGATCATCAGGTTTCTGGGCTGGCACTGAGAAACACGGGGTGTGAGCTCCCTCCAAAGGTTTTCTACAGGGTTTAGGTCTGGAGACTGGCTGGGCCACTCCAGAACCTTGATCTGCTTCTTACGGAGCCTCTCCTTGGTTCTCCTGGCTGTGTGCTTCAGGTCATTGTCATGTTGGAAGATCCAGCCACGACCATCTTCAATGTTCTGAGTGAGTGTGTGGGGCGGACCGGTGTCTTTATGCAGCTAACCACCTCAAACAGCTGCTTCTAATTTAGAACAATACGTGGAGTGGAGGTGGACTAACAGGTCTTTGAGGGCCAGAACTGTTGCTGAGGGCAGCACGGTGGTGCAACTGGTAGAGCTGCTGCCTCTCAGCAAGAAGGTTGCTGGTTCAAATCCCGGTCCGGGGGCTTTCCTGAGAGGAGTCTGCATGTTCTCTCCGTGCATGTGTGGGTTTTCTCCAGGTGCTCCAGTTTCCTCCCACATTGAGCTCAAATTTGATGAACGTCATTCACAAGACACTCTGAGTGGTGCAGGTGTACGACAGGAATTGATTCTCATGCACTTCTCATATCTTGTTCACAAGTGATGGTAGGATGGAGCTGTAACTGGAGCCGTAACTGGATCGACTGGGAATAGACCTCGGGGCTGAACCAGAACTCTCTGGGGGGATTATATATCCTCCTGGGTACCTTGGATCCTACAGTATATGTGTCAACCTCAAGGCCCGGGGGCCAAATGTGGCCCTGGATGACATCTTCTCTGGTTCCCAGGTTATATGTGAAATGGAAAATCTTCAGGCGTGAGCAGCGAAGCGCTGTGAAGGCCTACTGTAATCGCTCTGTTCAGGCCCGAGCTGCAATTTTTTCCGCCAAATGAATTGGTGTTTTGTGCCTTAACATATCCCAAAAGTCACCAAATTTGGCGGACGCATCAGGACTGGTGAAAAATTACGTATTTTAAGGGCGTGGCAAAAATCGCAACAGAAACGGCTCAAGAGCGCCACCTTGAAATTTTCAAAATTCCCTCCGCATTAACCTTAGTTTGTAGAAACATGAAATTTGGTACGCTTGTCCAATTCCCCAAGTTGCACAGAAAACCCTCTGGCACCAACGTTGTACGATAAACAGGAAGGCGGCCATTTTGGAATGTCGTCTCAATTTTCACACCTTTTTGGCGGTTTACAGCCTCCACATTTGAACAAACTCCTCCTAGGGATTTTGCTCAGTCGTTTTCAAACTTGGCCATTTTGGTCAAAAGGCACGGGGGACACAAAGTTATCTAAACGATTCGTTTCGGAGCATGATGAAGGGGCGGGGCCAGACCTCAAAGTTTGACATCTCGCCATGAAAAACGAAATCTTAATAGCTCCTACATGAAAACTGTCTGAGACATCAAACTTTCAGTGATTGATCCACATCTGGTCCCCTGCCAAACTCAATGGTCAAATCATGACATCACTTAAGCCACACCCCCTGACAGCAGGAAGTGTAAAGTTTTACGTTGAACAATCCCTATCTGACCCCTGTCACCTGATCAGCATGAAAGTGTGTCCAGTGACCGAAGACATGTTGGTGTAACTTGCTTTCCAACACTGACAGTTTGAGGTGGAGCATGTGGGCGTTGCGACATGGCGAAGTAAGACGTAACGCCGTCACCATACGTTTGGCTCTAAACGCCACAAATTTGAACCGAGGTTCACCAAAATCCGTTTGCTCGATCATTGTCCACCCCTTGAACAGGAAGCCATGATAATTGCCCAATAGCCTCCGCAGCGCCCTCTAGAATATTTTAAAATCTCAGCCCCAAGACAATTTATAACAGATAATTCTGAAACTCTGTGAACATCTGTATCGTCTCAGGACCTATGAAAATGTCTCTTGGAGCCCTGGTCCAAACTCAACAGGAAGTCTGCCATTTTAGGTCAAAGGGTCATTTTGGGGCGTTTCTAATGGCGAATTTTAACGAGCTCCTCCTAGGGATTTTGAAGGATGGTTAGGAAACTTGGTTAATATGCTCTTAACACATTGGAGAGTAAAAGTTATCAAAAGCTTTTGGTTTCATTTTGTTAAAGGGGCGTGGCCAGGCCTCAAAATTGCGCTTCACTCCATAAATTTAC